AATTGATGATCAGGGATGCTGAATAATTTTTCAAGGGCCACCCAGCCTAGTAGAGGCCTGAGTTTTACCTCCAGTATGCTTTTCTCCAAATCTTGTTCTCCCTCTATTACATTATTCTAACTTTTATTATAATTTTTATAGCTTTCATAATATGTAAGTAGATTGATGGGTCCTAAGGTATCATGCACGGAGCAAATGTTGGCTCTTCTTCTTAATAGTTCAGTATGCCAAGCCTCTCTATTAATATTTTTCATCTGAGAAATGGAGACTAAAGAATTGTTGTCAATTAATGAAGTAATATTTGAAATGACTACCATAGTGTCTAGCATTAACTATACTATGTCTGCCATAAGACAATCTTGTCATACAACAAAGAGTAGTCAAAGCAGAAAAGTTAGATGATTAGAATTCTTAGTAACACTCTTTCAGTCAGAGCCACACTAGAGTATACTCTTTAACCTTAAACCTTAGTATTTTTTTCTTTTCAGCAGAGAAAGGATAGTAAAATTTTCCAGAAGATTACCCAAGTCACCACCTAATCACCAATTCACTTCTTGAAATTTCTTGATCCTGGAAAGGGGTCTGCAGACACTTGATACAATTATGTCCAAGAATAAATAATTGTTAATAAATAAATTGAATTCAGGTTTATAATCCAATCAAGGAAGACTTGAAAATCACTACATGAAATATTTAAAATTAATTTATTGAGACAAAAAAGTTGAAAAATTGACTCTAGTGTCTGTGGTAGCTGCCTGAAATAGCTAGAAGACTTTAAAAAAACCACATTGCTTAATCTATGTTTATTATAACTTGCTTATATTTTCTATCTCCTCCACAAGAGCTATATATTATGTACATAATAGGCAGTCAACAAAAATTTGGAGAATAGATATTTGAATTAAAGAATGAATGACTACATAAAACTCTTTCCTCAATATCCTTCCTAGGCACTTTCTTGCCTCTGTTCACTGAAGTCTACTGATCTACTTATGTAGCTGTTCCTACAATATCTAGTAATTGATGCTCTAGACTGTCTTGTGTGATTTTCAGTATTATCAATCAATTTATGTCAACAGTTTATTGAGCAGCAGCCTCTTTAAAAATAATTGTAAATTTTAGTTGGAAGAAAACGGAAGTTTCACCATTTTGGTAAATAATGACATTTACAGCACTCTCAGAAACATACGTGCACAGTGCTCAGTTTAAAAAGGAAAGTGACATGTACATTAGGGTTCTTCCCTTTAACAACTTCAGATAACTAAACCCAAGCAATATACACCAATTATTTGACATTCTGTCAAGATTGGTGAGTGTATCAGGTAGACTGTCAAATCTGAAGACAAGTCACTTTTTGTGCAAGCTGTTCATTTTTCACTGATCAAAAAATAAAACAAGTACAAGAATGCTGAGTTATTAAATGTAACACGTGTTTGATTGAAATATCTAAGTCTTGGTTTTGTTGAAATAAAAACAACACATATGAAGTTCTTTAGACAAGAAACAAGAAAGTAACTGTCTTTCTCTTACAAATATTAATTGTACATGAAATGTAAAATTGAATTAGAAGAAAAGCAATTAAAATCTCTTTCAACATTTTCATCAAAAGGAGTAATCTTTTGATGAACAAAGATATACAAAATTAAGATGGAGCCTAAAAATAAAAGGCTTATCCATTAACTAATACAACATACAAAGAACTCTGAATCTTCACAGTTCTGGAAAACAAAATAAAACTGGAGAATAGAGAAGCCAGAAAAAAAAAAAAAAGCATCAGACACTGTTTAGTAATTTCCCAATGCTCATAGAGAGTCTCGATGCAGAAAATCGTATTTTAAAAGATGGTAAGTGGTTGCTTAACAAGGTTTCCCCAGAAAACACTTTTTGCCCAATAAATAGATGCAGCCTTTCATTTTCAATCGTTTCAATAAACAGCATAGTTAAATCAGTGCAAAACAACTCACAGTATGAACAAGATAGGTTTAACACGATACTGTTTCAAAAACCTTTCAGAACGTCAGATTATTCTGTTAAGTCATTCACCTCCACTTCACCCAATTCCAGAGAGTTAGAGAGTCCATTTTTTTAAAAGAGCAAAAGTACATCTTGTGTAATACGACTTGTTCTGATTATCTGCTATTTAAAGGATAGTAGTCAAGGTAAATTAACCTATAGGCAATACACGCGTATGTGGTGTGATTATTTTTATTCATTCGACAGGTATTGAATGAATTGAGTACCCATCATATATGCTATGTGTAATATTCTGTGTTAGAGATGGATGGTTAATTTTGTCCTCACAGTGCAGAAGAGAAACTTAGGGTTTGTCTATACCAAATCTACTCTCCCCTTCACAGCTGCAAAAAGAATCTGCTTTTATTCAGATACCAAAAACCTTAAAGGAAGACGACCAGTTTAGAGATAAATTCTGAATATGCTAAATCAATCATGTAAGCTGAGTCATCAGATTGCCATCTGGTCACATGACTGGTTTATCGTAAGGGACCCAATTCTGGCAAATAATATGAGCAGTTAACTCAGCTTTGGGGTTTATGGAAAATTTTCTAACTGAGGAAGAGTCGCTTTCTTTACTTTTGTTGCATGGTATCATGCATATATGGATATGATATCCACTGTGTCAAACTTCTTGTAACAATGATGTGAAGCAGACTGAGACAACATGCTAAGGATGGCACAGCAGAAAGTTGGAAAGAAATTGAGTTATGACACCATCAGTGAGCTGCTGCAGTAAACAACTCTGGAACGACTCCACTGAAGAGCTTCTTGTTATGTGATATAAAATAATTAATTCTTCACATCATAAACCAGTTGAATCAGGGTTATTATTATTATTATTATTATTTGGCTACTTGCAGTTTAAAGTATCTGTGAGTGAAGGGAAATGGTGAAGTAAATTATGAAATGTTAAGAACTGTATTGTAGATGTGTACAAGGGAACTGAGGTCAGAGACATCTTCAAAGAGGATAAAATCTTGAGCTGAGTCCTAAAGGATTCTATATAGACATTTCAAGCAGTTGAGACACTGTGTGCAAAGTCATCAGGGCATGAAAGATCTGAGAATTTGAGTAACTACTTGAGAATAGAAAAAAAAAGATCATATTTGGGCTGGGCGCAGTGGCTGGCGCTTGTAATCCCAGCATTTTGGGAGGCTGAGGAAGATGGATCACCTGAGGTCAGGAGTTCGAGACCAGCCTTACTAACATGGAGAAACCTCATCTCTACTAAAAATACAAAATTAGCCAGGTGTGGTGGCGCATGCCTGTAATCCCAGCTACTCAGGAAGCTGAGGCAGGAGAATCGCTCAAACCTGGTGGACAGAGGTTGCGGTGAGCTGAGATTGCACCACTGCACTCCAGCCTGGTGACAGAGGGAGACTTTTCCAAAAAAAAAAAAAAAAAAAAATAGAGATTTGGATGTAGAAAGGCTTACAAGATGGGGTGGGAGATAGGCAGAGTGGAAACTATGAAGCTCCATTGCCAATCACGTTAAGAGAGAATGGATTTTATCTCATAGTCTAATTCTGAACTCTGTCATAAGAAAAGAGGAAACTGGAATTAAGAAATTATGCTAACCAGCTGGGAGGTTACCCATGACCTAGAGCCTACTTTATGAGTTTGGGTTAAGTTGTTACATGTGAACATGATTCTGAGAGCAGCATGGAGGATGGATGGACTGGGGATAGGTAAGAACGGAAGCGAAGAAAAACAGTTTGGAAGCAGTATTGATAGCCCAAGCAGATGATACCAAAGGTGCTATCTATAAAATAGAAAGGAAAGGGCAAATCAAAGACAAGTTTATGAGAAAAAAGAATCAAGATGTAAGGGATAAGCAAATAAAGATTACTGGGTAATAATAATGTCTTCTAGACTTTCTGTGTTGGGTATCTTAGTAGTGGCTGTAAACTAGGGTATTGTATATTTTTAAAAGCTTGGAAATGGTGGGTGAAAGAACTGAAAGGGTAGAGGATAGGAATATTGAATTCAATTTTGAACTTCTTGAGCTGAGATCCCAGGCATATACCATAGTTACATAGATATCTTAATAATGAGCCCTCCAGAAGAAAGAAACTGGCTATAAAATGTACCCAAAGGTTAAATCTCTAGGAATTATTTATAAAATTTTTATCTATGGATAAAAACCAAAGAGATTTTTAGAGGATATCTATTAAAATGATGATTCTTACTGGAGTAGTTAGCTAGTAGTCTTTGTCTGTTAAGACTAATTTTGGTTTTTGAAAAGAAAGCCAATTAATATATGGAAAGGTAAATGTTGGCTTTTATTTCATGTTCTCTCCTCTACCACTTTATGGACAGATTTCTTGAATAATCTATGCTGCTTTACCTGTATGGCAGAAACTGCTATGGGTTTACCAAATTAAACTGCATTTTGCCTTTGTATATATACATGGACTACTTTCCTTTGCCACCTTGCAGTTAGGTAGGGGCATTGTTAACTGACTTCTGGCCTATGGAATACAGACAAAAGTGATGTCTGCAATTAGCACCTAAAAGTATCTCCAACATGCTGATTCTCTTGCTATGATTCTATGATTCAATGATAATATGCTGTGATTCTACCTTATTTGGGTCCAGGTTCAGTGAATACATGTGAGAGTTCCAAATTTAGGGGATGTGATGGTTTCAATGTGTCCCCTTTAAAAATTCATGGGCTGGAAACGTAATCTCCAATGCAACAGTATTGAGAGATAGAGGTCTGATGGAAGATGTTCAGGATCCATTCACTCATGAATGGATTCATGCCATCATAAAAAAAAGCCTTGCAAAAAAGGGTTTGCTTTCCTTCACTCTTCTGCAACGTAAGAAACAACAGTCCTTTCCTCTGGAATACGCAGTGTTCAAGGTACAACCTTGGAATCAGAGAGTTGACCCTTACCAGACACCAAACCTGCCAGCATCTTGATACTGGACTTTTCAGCCTCTAGAACTAAAAGATATAATTTCTGTTGTTTATTTCTCAGATATTCTGTTATTGCAGCACCAGTGGATGAGCACAGGGAATGACTGAGCCATAAGATGAAAGGATTCTGGGTAAGTCCCAACAATGAGCTGATGACATTCAATTTTCTGTCACCATTCGAGATCTTTTCTCTGTCCTTCAGTCCTCTGTACCCTTCTGCTTACTGTGCATTTTTAGTTAGAAGGAAACCAGTGATTTGCCTGCATTTTATTATTGCCATGTTCTTTCCCATCCTAGAGGGATTTATTTTCTAACTCATTTAACTTAATAAAATGGGCTGACTTAATTGTATTAGCATCATTGTCAGTTGCTTAATTAAATAATGTTTTTGAGAAAACTGAGAAAGTCTTGGTTTTATGAAATAGGTGCTGAAAAATAAGTACAAAGTGTCTACTAAGTAAATTTCTCAGTTATTGTTATCACATCATGGTTTTATAGTAAAACTAACAGAGTACGCTTAATATTTTAAATATGAATTAGACACTATATAAAAGATTCTGGAAACAATCTACTGTCTACTTCCAAGCTGCTTCAAGCATACAATTTTAGTGGGCTTATTGCATATACCTATTCATTAACATTTGCAATTGACAGCACGTGAGTCATGCCAATAACTAAAAGCAAAATTTTGAGCTTTTAAATATCTCAATTTGCAATATTGTTTTCTTTTCAGTTTTGCTCTTAAGTTAAAAAAAACCCCACGTCTTCAGTAGTTGAATGAGTTCCTAATTGTTGATAGAAAAAACAAACATTTCATGAATTCTTCAAATTACACTTTTTTGAAAGTAGATGTTGAATTAGAAGGAAATCTGAATTGGGCATGACATAGCATAAAAATATTTTGATTTCAATTCTTTAATCAGCTAGATGACTGTCATTGGGAAAATCACTTAACATATTGATGTTGAGATCCCTTTCTGGGATAGCAGTCCCTAAAGTCCCATTTGACTTCGAAATCCTGTAACTCTATGAATATCTGTTAGTATATTCATTTTGGATGCCAAATGCAAATATTAGAAGACAGGAATAATTTCTAAACAGAATACCTTTTTGTTGACCACATTTTTTGTTGGCTAGAGCAAAGAAGTCTGATTGAAAAACAATAAATAATTAAACATTATAATACTGCTTTTCAAAGACTTAACCCAAATCCCTAGTATAAACTTTGACAGTGGGGGACTAATATTATTATAGGGAAACCAGATTACTATCTAAGGAAGCAGTGATGTAATTGCATGTGGTTATTACAATGAACAATTGCTGGACAGTGGATTAGGAAGCTTGGTTCCCAAAGGCCTGGGTGGGTCCAAGTTTCAACATTTGAGTTCATTATGTATCTATATAAGTTCATTTCTGTAACTCTTCGCTTTTTCTTAACAAAATAGAAGATTTTGAGGGAAAAATGATTTAAAACAGGATACATTGACGATGGAGCTCTTTTCCTGGCTTTTGTACTGATTTATGGTAGAACTTTATATAAAATTTTATTTTCATAGGTATTTAATGTGTACGTAATAAGTAAAGAGGCTTAACTGAAACCAAATTAATTTAAGATTGTATGGTATTTTAAACATCTTTTTATTAAGGGAACTACATAAAAATCCCTGTTGCATAAAATAGAAATAAAACAGACAAAAACAACTGTTCCTGTATTATGCCTTAACTGGAAAACTCTGCTAATGGATTTTACAGATTATTGTGTACAAAGGAAGCCTTGTTACCACTATCTGCCTCTTTGTCTTCAAGTTGGTTGGGATAGAGAACAGTTACTTTTGGTTTAAGCCAGTTGTTCAATGTAGGGATTCTACCCTGTGTGCACATTTCTGAGAACAACAGGATGGAAAGTTGATTATAGCAAATCAATATTAAAAGTCAGTGAGACATATCTTTCTTTTAGGAAAAATGAAGAAATGATTCATTATTTATTATATTGCACAGGTAAAAAGATAAATTAGTTGCAAAATAATGATTCACAAAGGTAAAGGACTGAGGCTTTAAAGCCCCCTATCGATTCTGTATCATGTGTGCTCTACTGCTCTGCAAGACCTCCCTGAAGAATAGCTCTTTACCCTTGCTTCAGGGAGTGTTCCAGGCATCAAAGCAGAAAGAGAGAGCATTTACCTCCTTGGTGTATTCATTTGCAAGCCTTTATCAGTATTTAAAACTGACAGAATGGGAGCATACAAACTTTTTCATTCACTGGGTGTCCAGCCTTGCCTCTCTACTTTTATACGGAAAAGGTCATAGGTAAAACTGTAAAGTGGACAAAATTTGTTGAGTTCCCTCTCTCTACTCTGTCTCTGCTACCTGACCAGTGGGCTCTTTCCTCTAACCTGGATGCTAATATGTTAGCCCTTAGGCTTCTTTAAGGCAAATATTATCCTTTGTTTTATCCTTAATAGTTCAACAGTGTCCATCATCTCAATGTTTGTCACTAAACTAATATCCATTAGCATTAGGTTCAGAATATATATATATATACTTTCTACTAACATCTACTTTCTAATATGAATATATATCTATTCATATTAGAAGAGAACTGCTAGAAGGGAACAACACTTAACCTCAAGGAATGACTTGCAAATGAGGGAATTTCAGGCATTAGGGGATATGTATTGTGGAGAGGGGGTGAGTGAGATAACTGTGACTTCGAATCACAGGGTGCCAAATTTCCACATCTTTTTGTTTTAAAGTCATCTGTGACTTCAGAAATTGACCCAAAATTCAAGACAAAAGAAGTTTAGGGAGGATTGTTTTAAAAAAATAAATGGATAGATTTTTGCATCATCTCAGTTTTATGGATATCATATTAAAATCAGAGGACATGGCCATTTAATACCCGTACCAGAGACAACAATGGCTTAATTCATTTCGTGGTTCTCTCAACTGGTTCAGAAGATGCTGCCCCATCAACTTGTTCTTACGCCCTAAGTCCTGGCTTGGTTAGTCCTTGACTGCTGCTAATATTCTCCCTCTTCCCCAGTTTTGATTTCACTAGTGATATCCATCGCTTCCTTTCTGATCCGGTCAATCTCCTGGAATTGCTTTAGCCAGGCCAGCTCTTATTTGACCTCTGAAGCAGCTCTCCTCTGCCCCCTATTGACATGAGTCTGAATGCGCACAGCTGGGTCCAGGGAACTTGATCCTATTCATATACTGAATAGTAAATTATTGAATGCCTATAAAGTACCAAGTACTGCCCTAGATACTTGTGATATATTAATGAATAAAGCAGAAAAAAAATCTTCACACTGATAGAGCTTGCAAATTGGAGCCTTACCTCAGGCTGTCACCATACGTTGAAGGGAACACTTTGAGGAGATTTTTGCATTATGTGCCTTAAGTGACACTTTATAAAGGAGATGTGTTATAAAATGCCTTCCTACCAGACAGATTTTCATTCAATTTGGTTCTCTCTTGGAGTTTGTTCAATCCAACTTAGCAGGAGGAGTGGGAAAGACTGCGATACTGCCGTTCTAACCATGATATATCCCACAGCATACTGATGCTCCAATTTCTAAAGACACTTTTTAAAATTCTTTATCTTCAGTAAGAAATACTTATTGTAGGGGAAAGATGGCCAACTAGGAACAGCTCAGGATTGCAGCTCCCAGTGAAAGTGCAGAGGGTGAGTGGACACCACATTTCCAGATGGATTTTTATTGCCCACAGACCAGGAGATTCCCAGGCGGAGGGGCCCCACGGGTCGCCAGCGTGGCTGTTTCGGCTGGCGTGGCTGCTTTGGCCTGCGCCCTGGCATGGTGGTTCTCTGTACAAAAGACACTGGTCCGGGTGCCCTCTTAGCTGGCGATTGGAGCCCCGAGATGGCAGAGTCGCCCATTCATCTGAAATAGCGAGCCAGGCAAGGAGATACCTAGGCAAAAAACCGCCAGGAATCTCAACGCCGCTGTTTCAGCCGGCTCAGTGAGTCGCGGCATGGGAGATCCCGGCGCCTTTTCAACAGGCGACTGGAACACTGGGAGAGGGTCGACCGTTCAACAACAACAACAACAACAAAAGACTCTGAGTCAGGGAGCCAGGTGATCAGGCTCGGCTGGTCCCCCCCGCTCCCACACCCCCCCCAAAAAAAAACAGTAATTGAAAATGCTCTGGGTTGAGAGTTTCACAGCAAGCACAGCTGAACCCAGGATGGTCTGGCTCTGTGGGGGATGGGAGTCTGCCATTACTGAGACACTCCACCACTACAGAGGCAGTCTGACCATCACAGAGGCAGCCCGCTGTTGCTGAGGCAACCCATGTTGCCGAGGCAATCTGCCACTACAGAGAGAGTCCGCCATAACAGAGGCGGGCCACCATTGCCAAGGCAGTTCTAACTACACCCATATACACAGGACTGCAGGGAAGATCACACGGCAGCTGGACAGAGCCCACAGCAGCTCAGCAAAGCCTCTGCAGGCAGACAGTGACTAGGCTGCCTCCTCGCTGGGCAGGGCATCCCTGAAAAAGAATAAAAGGCAGCAGCACAATGGAAACTCATAAATAAAGCCCTAACTCCCAGGGACAGAGCACCT